TGATATGGCGCATTCTGGTTGATCTCCGAATGGAGTTCAGTGTCCGCACAGAATAGTTAATCCCAATATATATAGGTCACGACATGCATTTAATATGTTTTGTTGTGTGCTCGATTGGAAAATAATAAATAAAAAACTCTTTGGTTTTGTTTGCAAAAACTTCTGGCCACTATTTTTTTGTTAGTTTCAAAATATTTTTATATTAAAAAGTTGTTTTAAAAAACAGCGAAGAAAATTATTTTTATCACATTCAATTTTAATATTGTGGGCTGACCACACATAAAAGCTTGTTGTTGTTATTATTATTGTGACTTTAATTTTATGTATGGCATTTTATCTTGTAATATAATTAAATTATTTATATCATATATTTTTAATGGTGAAAAAGATTTAGTCAAGATCTCCCAACCCTAAAATTTTTCCCTTTCTATTTCGCACACATTTTACAGCCAATAAAATAGTTCATAATAATTTTTCTGGTAACAATTGTAACTTATTCAAGCAATAAAAAAAAATCAGTAATAGAAATGAAGCACTCACTCTCCGGGAACTTCTCCGGTGAGGTATTCCGGCACATCAGACCGATCAAGGAGCCCCTCCGGCAAGAAGATCCTCCTATCAGGACCTATAATTAAAGCAAGTCAAAATCACTCTACTCCATTAAAAAAAAAAATTGAAAATGGATTTTCGCCAACAAATTTCTTCTATTTTGTTACATACCATACCACTTGGCCAGTTCTTCACTGACCGGGGAGGCGGGGACGGCCTTCGACTTTGCCGGAGCTTTCTTGGAGAAGAGGGCGACGATCTTTGATCCGGAGGCCGATGAAGAAGGCGGAGCAGCAGCACGAACGGTGGTGATTGAGCCGAGCGAGATGCCGAACATCTCAGAGTGGCCGAGGGCGGCTGGAGCAGCGGCGGCGGTCGCAAGGGAGGCCATTGGTGAAAGGAGCTCCGGCGAAGATATGCGTGTGGCAGGAGAAGGTGTGGAGTGAAGGGGAAAGGGAGGGGAACTAA